GTGCTGATATGAATTTCTTTTGAAATCTTTTGTTCATTAAAAATTTTAAATTATCTTGTCCATTTGGTACATTTATAAAAGATAGAGGAAACTATTACATAGTAGCAACTATAAAGAAACAAGTACTACTAATAAATAACTCAATAGTTGGTTTATATCATTAATTGAAATATAAAAAAAGTTTTATTCCGACAAGAATTTTTGTACATAATTGGATATAATTATTTGTACACAACGTATTTGAACATAATGGATGATATACTGGATGAATCACCTAAAACTAAAAGTTGAAATATTTTCGAAATGATCAATTGATCAAAAAAAAAAGGCAAAAGTTGAATGGTTTCGAAAGGTATATTATTAACATAATTGATATTTTCTAATGTTGATGCACAGAAGGCGTTTGAAAGTTAGATTTGTTTTTTAAGTGAAATCGTATATTTTGTAATATATTATTAGATTTAGTTCATCATTCTCTATAAAAAAGTATTAAACCATTTATACCGCAAAATCATTAATTCGGAAGATATTTTAATTAAAATATTGCAGTATGATATTTGTTTTCTTTTTTTAGTTTCATGCTCTTTAGATGTTAAATGGTGTTTTGTTAAATTTAAATAGATTTGAATTCATTACATCTTTTTTTGTGTGTTAAAAAATAAAGTCTATGTTGATGTATCAACAATCGCTGAAAACATGTGTTAATGAATTGTTGAAGAATGTAGAAATATTATCGCATTAATGCTGAATAATGTGGAATATTTTTTAAAGATTAGAGTACAAAAGTGTTTAGATGTCAATGGTCATCACTTTGAGTACATTTTGTAATAACTGTTATGTAATAGCAAAATAAATCTTTACTTTATTCTAATCACAATAAATAATATCCTGTTATTACTAAATGTTGGTGTTATAGATAAATTCGATATTCTACGAGCATTATTCCGAATTATTTTAATTAAAACATCTCTTAAACTAATAATATAAATGATTTAATTTTTTTTTATAGAGAATAACGAGCTGAACTAGGGAATAATATATTAAAAAATACTTCTATGCATTAACATTAAATAATTATATCAATTACTCTTCTCGAATTCATTTAACTTTCGTCTAAAATATTCTTGGATATAATTAATCGTTTCGAAAATTTATTTATTTCAGTTTCTAGTCTTAGATGACTCACGCTGTATAGATGAGATTTCGAATCTGAATTTAAATACAATGTCGTGACATATTGAAAACACAAAATTCGTGAGCAAATAAATTATATTGAAAATACTGATTTGGTATCGATTTAGCTCATTTTTTTCCTAATTAACAGATTGAGATATAAATAAATATTTGAACAATACAAATACCAAGAGATTTTCTGTTAAAAAATATTTTTATAAAATTTTATAAATAAATAACATATGTATCGATTGACAAAACAAATCCGAGGTTTTAAAGGATATATGTATCTTTGTAGTAATTACTTAATTGTTAAAATATACGTATTGGTATATTTTGGCTTTTTTTCAATATGTTTATATTATAGATGAAAATTTTTAAAAATATGGGTTAAAGAGAAAATTGAGATATTTATAACATGTGATTTTGGACATTAAAACTTTTTAAAGTTCATGTACAAAAATTGAAGCTTATTTTTCAAATTATAACAATTTTTCTTTGGAAACACACGAGATTAATTAATCAAATTATGACTTTTTTCTCTCTACTACTCTTCTTTCACGTATACTACAATCATCGAAATAATTTTAGGTTTATCATATTTTTGTAAAATAAAAGTCTGTTTAACATAATATTTTTTATTTTTTTCATTATAATTGGTTCCTTTTGATAGAATTCGTAATACACATATTTTAATTGAATAATATAATTTTTATTGTTATTATTAATATAATTTCTATA